TAATAGTATCATTATAATTTATTACGCCATCGCTTATAATTACGTTGTCGAGTATATATACCTACATTCGCCATTGGGGTACATTTATTCCGTATTTAAAATCATGCTTCTAAGCCTTTAGCACCGACGGCATTATTAGTACGCCGAAGAAGAGACCACGTTAGGCGTGTAAACGACGAAGAGTATGTGTGCTTGGAGTCTGCCAACCCGTGTGAAGAGAGCAGACCAAAAGTTATACGCGGTTTACATGCGATGTTTTATTGAACGGTTCGGGTCTCGCTAACAGAGTTTCTACGAAAGTTGGGACTTTCGACGACTGCGAGTGTATATACTTATTATAATATTATATATATGTATTCGCTCGCCATTACGATATTATGTGAATTATTAGCTTAACCCGGTGTATAACGACATTTTAGTCGCAGATCGTGATACAACAGATGAAAACATATAGCGCGCGCATTATATCGTATATTATAATATGTACAATACTCTTTATATATATATACGCGTTTTTGTATAATTTAAATGTATACGACAATAATAATATAATATGTGTTCGAAATTATTCGTCGTCATAATGCCAGCACAGAAATCGCGGATTAAAATTGTACGCGCACTCGATTTCGGTATTGAATAACAATAACATTCACGCGCACACATATAATATGTGTATGTATTATTTTACGTATAGTCGATATGCGGTTAATCGCTAGCTATTGCCGTCCGCTCGTCGATAAACTCGTCCTCTACAATATTATATACAGCATAACTTTATAATAATATTATAATGTAACATTAAAATTAAATCCGCGTTTAATATTTATGCGTGCTGAACATATGTGGGTGGGGAATGGGAGATGAACAATCCAAAACGACTCTTGCCTGAACGTCGTATAATAATTTTTATTAACTCGCACAATATGATTTAAGACTTTTCCGATGATTGTCTGCCGCCCGAGCCCATCGCACCAGCAGAATTGTTATACAACCCATACAATATTATTTCACTTTTTCATTTTTAATAATATATAAACAAAAAACAATATTCGTTTAATATCTATGAAAAAAAAAAAAATGTATAATAATAAAATATTATAAATATAAACAAATAGCTACAGGGACAACGGCCCCTATACATACATATTATATAATATTTTAGACGAAGCGCAGCGGGGCACACCGCAACGGGAATATAATTTATGTTTATTTATGAGAAATATTCTTCGTTTCGCGCGTACGTGTAATAATAATAATAATAATAATAATAACAACGAACGAGAAAATCGGCGATGATGAAAAAAAAATATAGTAATAATAATAATAATAAATACAAACGGAAAATTATTAACCTGTAACATACGCGATAAAAAATAAATATTGCAATATATACTATATATATATATATGTTATTACGAGTGAAACAAATCTTCGTTGCCGCGAGGGTATTGTGTTTTATATATTATACACGTGCACAAGTATAACGAATTGGATATCGAAGGGAGAGAAAATAATATAACCTGCGAGTTCACTGTGAAAACTGCATAATATTTTTAACGCCGCTCGCACGATCGTCTCATTATATGTAGGCCTCGGTTTTTTTTTTATACTGTTTCCACTTGAATAAGTTCAACAACTGTTTCCAGCGAGTAACAATAACTTCATCCCGTTTCCCGAGTATACAATATAAAACAAACAATGGACAACTTCGCATTACCTATTATGAAATTATGACATAACAATAATATTATAATACATTATATTATATACGCATTATGTACTTGTTTAGCCGTATTGTATAACGTGTAAATGTGTAATATATTATTATCATACCGGGCTGTGTATGGCCAGTGTAAAATTCCATAATTTTCTGACTGAGTTAATAACTATTACAACGTTTAAGCGCATTAATTTGGTGGACGGTGGTTTACGCGCGTCTAAAATTACTGTAGGATTAAGAGTAATTATAAATTCCGATGAGAAAATGCATTTGATCAGCATTGATGGTAGGAGGAGGGACATGACTAGTTAAACATTTAAAGACAAGTTAGTTAATGTTGCAAGCAACTTAATAATCAAACTAGTTAACTAAGTATCCATTATAATAAATTAACTTTTTCCAGTTCATTGGAAAAATAATATGTTAAGTATAAATCAAGCTCGCACTTTATAAAATTTGTTGCCTACTATACTTAAAAAGTCATTTTTTTTTTTTATAACACCGTACACAATTATTTTAAATGAAAATAAATGTTACTTGATTTAATATTATTTATTTGACTCATACAATGATACAATATATGTGTTGAATAACGCTTAATATGCCTTTACCTCCACAACCACTATTCAACAAGAAGGAATATATGGACGCATTAAAAACAAAATAATTTGTTTAAAAATAAAATTTAAATCTTCAGGCCTAATCACTATTTAAGACCTAGGTCCAAGTGGTAATTAAAAACAATCAAGTTCGTTTTAACTGAGTTAAGTTGATATTTTTTCTCCATATAAACTTTAAACTTTTCGAGTTAAGAATTTTGTCTGTTAACTATAAATTATTAACTTCTTGACATTGACTTACGTTTAGTTAATTTAATTATTTTTCATTAACATTGAAGATCACAATTGATTTGCATTAAGTCTCAATTAATCTAGTTATTTAAATAAAAAAAACAATGAACTAGTTCAAATTTTAATAACTTAAATACCACCAATACAATTTAATTCGTTAGAGCTGCTATACGTTGGGATGAATTACTATCGAAAAAAAACACTTAAAGAATTAATATTTTGAAGTGACACATTATTATATTATTCGATTTATAATAATTATGACAACTTATACTCGTATAATACATTTATTACCGCGTTTTGTTTTCTCCATCCTCTCGTTTATTACTCGTACATAATATTATTATTATACAATAATGCAATAGGTACTACAATTTTGCGTGTATGAGTATTACATATATTATACAGGGTTTGTGTGTAGGTAGTCTATTTGTATTTTATGTTTGGAACCGTTTTCTGAAACGAGGAAAGCATATTATGTATATTATTTCGATTCAACGGGACCAGAAAGGGGTAAGAATATTGCTGCTCTCGGCGCGACGGCGATGGGTGGTTTCATTTCCATGATGAGCAAAAAGCGTCGTCGAGCGCAATCCTCCGCCGCGATAGCGGCTGTAATTTATATCCGATACGGTTAAACGACTGTCGTACCCCACCGTCGCCCCTTTATCTTCCGAATGTGTGTACATATTTATATACATATATATATATATATACACTTATGTATAAATAATATATATACTTATTTATTTATATATATATATATATATATGCGATAAGGTACATTTCGAAATTCAGTATATACTATGATAATATAGTGCGACGACTCGCCTAGACGCAACGACTACGACTCTCGTCGGTCGCGACAATCCTAGCGATGATATCATATTATTATTATTTTATGTACTCCGCCGCAGTGGAATTAAGTCTGCATTCGCTACACCCTCACCCCGTCCAGTGCAAAGCGGCGAACGAAAAAGTTCGATTTCTTTTTACCGCCGCGCCCGACAGGTCGTATCTCGTTTTCGGCGTTGACGTGAAATAGTATTGTTTATTCGGGTCGGTTCTAATAATATTTGGATTGTCGCGGGTTTCCGGTTGCGCGTTTCCGTGTCTCTCTCGACATTGTTTTTTATTGTTTGTCCGCTTGCTATTATGTTCTCCCGCTACGAGCGCGTAAGGCTGTGCTCGGTACGACACTATTTTGTCGGGCCTATCACAATACGAGTAGGTGCCTATTTACTTACCTATATTAATGTAATATTATTTTCTAATTTCTACGCACTTCTGCGTTTTTCGTGATGCCGAGTGTGTTTTTAACTCCGAAGTAACAGTAATGTTTTATTATAATGTATAACTGTAACTGACGACACGAGGGTGAACCTCGTATTTTCTACCGATCCGCCGCGGGTGTATACTTTTGGTGCGTACACGTATAGTGCCCGCTGCGAGTTTTCGGGTCTCACCCTAATGCGTGCGTATGTGCGTGTGCGTGTGTGTGTGTGTGTGTGTGTGTGTGTGTGTGTGTGTGTGTGTGTGTGTGTGTGTGTGTGTGTGTGTGGTTTACTGCTCGGCGATAAAAGAGGGGAGAAAAAAGTGTTCTCACTCTCTCACTCTGCCAACCACCCCCTCCGCATCCACCGTCAGCGTTATGACGTTTGCAGGACAGAAACCGACCTATCTACGTCTCTCTCTCTCATTCTCTCTGCAACCACGCTGACGCTGTCACTCCATCCCGGTCCCTATTTCCCTCTTCCCCACCCGCTCGCCGTATTGAAAACCGTCGTCGTCGTATCGAATTCCCATTACGGCGCGCGCTCACAATAATCTAATTTCTCCGCATTTTAATGGGCCCTCATTCGATTACAACTTACAGCGGCGTCGCGATGTCGATTTAAATGACTGAGTTTTATTTTATTCTATTTGAATGAAGATGAAAAAACGGAAAGTTTTCAAAAGAGAAATATGCTTACTCAGTTATTGGGACTATGCGGTCTACTAGTATATTCGCTACCTACCTTTGTATTGCATGCATACCACTTGATAATGTTAATTGGCTGTAGCATATAATTAAAACTATCGATACACCGACTCAATACTTTTGATACGATCGAGTTATTTGATCAACAGTATTCAAGCGGCTGGGGACGAATTTAATTAAATATTCTGAAACTTTAATCATATATATTATTTAAAACAAAAAAAAATTAACCATTTATGTCACTTATTTCATTTTCAGACATGAATTATATGCCATTTTAATACTACATACGTTTTTATAATAGCGTAATTGGTTTATAAAAAAAAGTATTTAACTCGTACCTATGTTGGTTCAGATCAAAGTTTTAACAATAATAACTCACAGTTGAATTACCCTTAATTAAAAACCGTTTAATTTTACTAATTAAATGTCATTTGTAATGTTTCAGGGATTGCCGAGTAGTACGAGATCCACAAACGTTAAAATCAAAAGGCTACGGCTTCGTGTCGTTTCTGAAAAAAGCTGTAAGTATACAAACATGGTTTTTAATCTTAACTTTTTATCTGATATTAATTAGAAACCGGAAATAATAAAGTCAGTAAATTGAGATATAATAAAAGTGACGGTTTTTTTTTAAATTTCAATTCCGTTTTTTAACTTATCGCATCGACGAAATGAGACAAAGAGATCTTTTGTTCCGTTGGGAACACAATATGAATATTTCTCAAAGGTCTAAAGATAGGTATACCAAGAATGAGTTGGCATAATTCTTTTTCATTTTGTTTTCTCACAACATTTTGTGCTGCCCGAGAGTTTTGCATTCCCGGCGACCACCGAGTCAGCGTTTCAACAGCACACAACATAATAATTAATAATATAACAATATAGACATCGTTCGCACAATATAAAACAAACTCGATTTTGTATTCAACAAGAATGATTTTTGATGAAAAACAAAGCCACCTATTTAGCTATAAATGTTTTTCCAACTTTAAAATGTACTTTAATAGGTAATATTGTCATAATAGTTGAGTGAAAAATTCGAAATAGACCTTGTATCATATTATAATATATTATATAACATTATAACATTGTTATCATGATATATTACCTATATTGTCCGCCGCTGCCGTCGAAAATTTCTTCTGTAGTGCCACTACAACCACAACTATACAATTACCTGTTTATCGTATTATATTATTTTATATTATCTTGTTACCTATTATCATTATTAAATATTATTATTATAATTATCGTCGCTGTATTCGTTCTCCAAACTCGCTAAATGTTTTTTTTTTATGTAAATAACAATATGATATAAACGAGAGATGTGCAACGTAATAATACCACCGTCGGTTTTTGTGGGATGATATACCACGACCACTGTATACAGAAGCCCATTGTTTTACCGATTTATGTGAGGAGTATTGTGTGGGTTTTTCTCTCTAACTCCCTCTCGGCCCCCCCCCGTCACCACTACCGCCGCCACACCACCCCTCCCAAAACGGGGTGTTTCGACTGCTCACGCGATATAACAAAACGACCGACCGTTCGGCTGCTGTGGCTCATTGTTGAATCGCTGCAACGTTTTATCCCGACACTCGAACGCGATAAGGAGAATTACTCCGATAAATTGAACTGTTTACGTTCACATACGTGTGCACACCACTGCGAATCGGCCGGTTTTTTCATAATAAATATATACGATACAATAATATGTAGTAGATTTTTTATCCACTTTACCATTTATCCCGCTACCATCAGCGACGTCGTTGTTTCGCGGGTTACTGTGGGCCATCTCGAATTAGGGAATTGGAGTCTTATACTATTTATATAGTACACATCGGAAAAAAATGGTTTTGGCTTTCGAAATTATTTTACTAGAAGGACTGGATTCCGCACTATTACCATGCAGAGTATACATATTATATATACATCAGTCGCCGCCGTATAAATTCGTCCAAATCTCATGGCTTATGTGTGTGCACTGGAAGCGGATGAGAAGGAGACTAATGGAGTGGGGTTGGAAATAGAATTACAACTCTCGCTCGTGATCCCGTGTGCAATTTTAAAACCAGATAATTTATACAGATTTAAAAACGTAATGCTGTGAGTTTTTCATGACCAGACGGGTGACAGACCATTATGAAAAATATTATTTATTGTTTATGTTATATTATTATACATAGTTGTTTGGTTGCTTAACATTGGTATGGTTTATAGTAAATGCTATAGTGAATACGTGTAGACTTATTGATTAGTAAACAAATTTTAAATCAATATACTCGTCTGACAGACATTTAAATAAAATGGTCATAAAGGATTTAAAGTTGCAAGACCGACGGCATTTAAGTCGAGCTAACTCAAGTTCATATTTTCACATTTTTAAAATGTTCATAAGTTGCTTCGAATAACTAAAATATAAAAAGAAAACTAAGATAATATCTGTACGTTAAAGTTGCATAACAGGTATCTTTAACAGTAATATTATTTTTAATAAGAGGAAAATGGTTTTTCTAATGTTGAATTGTTTTGTTTTTTATTTTATACATACGGAAATATGACGACCACTTCACATTTTTCTGCTGTATTGTATAAATAAAAATAAGGTACCCTATTAAAATATATTGATCCAAAAAATGGGTATGATACAATCCAAAATACTTATATTTATCGTTATTATTTTGTCTTTTGTAAATATATTATGACGGTTTGTAAGCTGCACATAATATGTATGCCATTGAGGAAAGTTATCATCTCGAAAAATCAGTACGCCAACTCGCAGTTTACAGTGGTCGTCTATCGGCACATTCATCCGACTTAGGGTCTGGCTTTAGGGGAGGGCGAGGAAGAGGGCAATACGCGGTATTATGGTTTCCGGACGTAATTAAGTATTATCCGATCCACCGAGTCCAATTGACCGTTTAGCAATCGCTATTATGCGGCCACAATCCATCGTCTCAGACCGCGATTCACATTACTGTTGTTATCGAACAGTAGATCGGCGTTTCCCAAACTACTGTTCATGAAATTATTTTGTTTGATCGCACACAAAGTTTAAGAGTTAGAAAAGTCCTTTGTTGCATGAATTGCCAAAAAATTAAATATTATTATTATGGTTTTATACAATATATAGCTGTAGTCTGTAGGTATAAATGTATAATATTACTAAAACTGTAATATTTTTGGAAGGTCAGGTCATCACTTGTGAGTGAACTTATAATATGCTTCGCCCAACGCCTTGACATTAAATCCGAGAAACAATTAGAAAATAAAATAGAGTTGATCGTTTAATCATCTCGTCGAGACCCTAGTCGTCACTCGCTCGACCCGTTTCTTGATGTTATAGTACTTTATAATACACAATAATCGTCGTACGATATTAATTGCACTCTTACATTATATTATTATTGTATACACAACAGTGCGCAATGCGATATGTACAAAATAAAAACGAAAAAACTCATCTTCTTCTTTCACGGTGTCATGCGCACATCGTGGTCGACGATCACATATGTTCCGTGCTCGATCTATAATACTCTTATATATATATGTCACGTATACGCGTGTTTCTCTGAGATAAACGCCACCCCCTCCACGGCGCTGCGGGCAAGCACGCAGGGCGATCAGGGGGGCCGTCGTCATCGAGACCCACTAGGCCGGGTCGTCGTCGGCGGCTTAATGTCGGGTCGTGAGGGATGAAAGTAATATATTGTAGAAGTTTGGGTGCGTATGTGCAGTATTATATACTCGTGGATCCATGGGGTGAGTCGGCCATCGCCTCTTCACCCCCACACGTTTGCACGCGAAACTGTTGCGCATCGCCGAGCCCCGACCTTGAGACTCACAAACGTCTGTTGGAAAAGAAAATATATACCGCGACCGTACACTTTTAACCAGGTATCCGTTAGGTGATTACGATTGTTTCACTTAAACGCGAGCAACATCCCGGTGAAAAGCATAACCGTATTCGAAAAGGTGCCAAGGTCGGTTCGACATAATAATAATGTATTATTATACCAGTCGGTTTCGCGTTTCAATCAACGATTATTACCTACCCGTTTAGTCGAATAATCACACGAATAAATCCTATAATGTACTATTAGCCAGATTTATCGACACCTTCTCGCGATTTTTACGATCTGCTTACACTATTGTTAGTTAAATTAACTTGATGTCTTCTTATTTTTTTTTTTTTGAATTCAACAAATTATAAAATAATTTATTTAACTATCAATATAATTGTGGAGCGTTTTGATACTATGATCTAACGCCAATATAAATATAATATAATATTTGTGTACTGTATCATAGTAATATGTAATACGACGATTGTTTACAATTCATTCGAGAACAAAATCCGTTAAAGCCATATAATAAATATTATGCATGACGGCTCGTCATATAACTGTAAATTCTTTATAAATAATTTACTAAATATTATTTAATTAAATCATTGAAATGTTTACATGCCAAGCAATAATTTATAAAAACTGACAAGTGCCTACATAAACTAGTTTCTCGCTTAAAATTGTAGTTTTCGGTTTCTACAAAAATAATCATCAATATTACCAGTAAACACTATATTGATAAAAAAAATATATAATCATTTAATGCCACGTATAATACTGAATGTACAATATAACGCCGATACTAATGAGGTATACAATATTGTGTTGGCATTATATTCTTTTGTATTTTCCATATTATTTGCCTTTATAGTTGTAACTTGGTATTTTGTCTATACCAAAGTCAAATATTCAGATCCATTGGCTATACGGCCGAGGTACAAATTGCTTTAATCACCAGTGCATTAATTATATTGGGTTGATTTGTTGTATTAATTGGCACGTCTTTAAGCGTTTATTGAAAGACTTTAATGCTAGTGGTATATCTGTTGAAAAGTGATACTTTACGGTTCTTATATTATACCCTCAATAGTTGAATGTGATTTTGGATACTAACAAAGTAGTGATGTTTATAAACCTACCAATAGGTGCTTGAAAAATAGCTAATATTTTAATCGAATCATATTTAGACTTTGTTAACATGCACATGCACAAGTTTAATACGATAAAGGCTACCATAGAATAACTTAACCTGTTATCTGATTCCTGACATAAATAATAATTTTTCGTTCTATCAAAGAAAACCTATATTACAATTTCCAGAAAATCTGTACCATATTATGAATATGATGTCATCTTTGTTTTATGGCATCTGACTTTTGAAAACCAGATTATTAATGATTTCTGGTGCCATTTGTATTGTATAGAACTACATCATATATGAACTTACTTAAATATGATATTATATAGAATCTATACCGAAATTCAACTATTAAGTACTTTATTTTATTAAGTCATATAGGTACTTAGAGAATAATCTATTCAAACAATAATAGGTACTTCACTTTAATTTTTCAACTGTGATCCGTCGATATAATAACATATATAAACCTATAGTTACTTATTCCAGTTCACCTTGTTCTTTTTATCTCGTAATACGTTTTAAATATTTCGAT